ACACAAAATGAAAAAATATGTCAATGTTCACTTTTTTTTTAAATGAATGGAATGCACTTTATTTTCTTTCAAATTCTCAAAATTCAGGTTTTTCTGATTCAGATTATATCAGTAGCGTAACTTGACATCAGGGGGCTTCGGTGGAAGATTACTAAGATTAGATTACAGTGACTGATTAGACTAACCCCCCCCCCTCCCCCAACAAGTGTGTAAAATGCAGAACCTTTACACGAATGTGAATTTTGACAATCACATGACTGGAAAAAGATTTACACACATATTGCTTACCATATTGCGCATTAGTGCTTGAAGAATTTTACTAGAAAAATACTTAATCGACATCTGTCATTGACATTACTTCACACACTAGTGTGTAAATGTAAAGTGAATTGTACTTTACGCACTAGCGAGTGAAGTTAAAATTCATGTCTTTCGAATAGTGCGAAAACCGTAAAGTGAGTCCCGAGGTGAGGCCTTTATAGGTACGCATGGTAGTAGAAAAAAAGAATTTATTTTGTAATTGTTTACCTTGGTGTTTACTTATCTATTACCACTTTGTTTCTCTATTCAAGAAGACATGGACTTTCCGCAATTTTTTCTCTGACTCCATCTTGAGAATGAAAACTGCCCAGAAGAATAACAATCAATAAAATGCAAGATATTTTGGGGCCCCCTGAGACAGACCAGATCGACAACCTTAGATTGTTAGCGGAAAACGTTTTATTATAAACTTGTACTACAATTTCCAGACATTTAGAAACATTTTTTTTTTTTTTCAAATTACTACGAATTTAATAAAATAGGTAGGTACTTATAACAAATGCGGAGTCCCTCAAGTCTCTGGGGCCTCGGTGATTGGCACCGAACTGCCCTATGATAGTTATGCCAGTGGATTATATAATATATTAATGTTTCTTTCAATAGTTTTGGAAATATCTGAAGTTTAGTTATTCAAAGACCTATTCACGTATCAGAATGTTTTCTGAACAGGTGACAGGTAAATCTAGGTAAAATATATTCAAAACACTACTCTTTTTGAACAACTGAACTCCAGATATTTCCAAAACCATTGAAAGAAACATTTAGGTACATATCACATAATCTGAATCAAAAAAACAAGAACTTTAAGAATTTGGAAGAAAATAAAGGGCATTCCATTTTAAAAAAGTGAACATCGACATATTTTTTAACTTTGCGTTGCTCATTTGTTCAATTAAATCAAAAATTCTGGCGGTTCAGATAAAATGCTACAACTTTTGTATTTACACCTTTCACCTATCACCTGTAATTACGGCTGCAGGTGGCCGGTGGGTGTCAAAATATGGTAACTCACCCTGTACGTTATTGAACCTAATTCAATTTTTAAACTTTTTAATTACTCTGATAGTCATTTTTTAATTTATTTTTGATTTTTTTCCTTCGTTTTTTCCTCTACAAAATGGTAAGTTCTCTTTACATTTGGGTCCTGATTCTATATTTTCCTAATCTAAACTCATTTAAATTTTTTGGCATGATCTGGCAGCCTATATGCTATCCATCCCTGTTAACATATGAGCTAATTTATTGCCCCTGATGATGGGATTTACTAATCCCGAAACATGTAGGGCCCTTTAATTTAAAACGAATAAAGTATTTGTGGAGGAAGACTAAAGAGTTTTTCTTATGAATTATTCAGGATATTCTAAATACTTACGAAATTTTGCAAAATTGTTTTCAAATTGAAGAAGTAGTCCATAACTCAAAGTGGAGTTGAAATTTAATTTAAAAGAAAAGCTCAAAGTCTTCCTTCACGAATACTTTATTCGTATTAAACGACCCTACATGTTTCAGGATTAGTAAATTCCATTATCAGGAGCAAGAAATAAGCTCATATATTAACAGGGTTGGAAAACATAGGCTGCCAGATAATAGTTTTTCCCTTTTTAATTAATATGACTCAGTAAATTTTTTAACTTATTTTGACCTTTTTTTCCTCTACAAAATGCATGATGATGAAAGGTGGAAGAAGACTTTGAGATTTTCTTTTGAATTAAAATTGTTTTTATTTTTTCCTGACTTTATTTGAAGTGATATTTCAAAAAAAATATCACTTTATCATAGCCACTTTTTCTCCCCTATAAGATGCTACCATCAAATTTAAAATATGACGTTTCATTTTTGGGCCACCATCATTTTTTTTAAATACGACCCTAGATTTTTTATTTCAGATATTTAAGGCGTCTGATGTCCCAATACCTATGACGTATCGCATTTATCTCTTTCTAACACATTCAGTTCTTATGGAAGTGCCAATAATATAAATTTTTCGAATGAGTGCAATAAGTCATTAGTTCTGGCACATCAAAAGCTTATAAAATCTAATATAATAAAAAATAAGGGTTCGTATTTAAAAAAATAAAGTTCATGATGGTGGCCCAAAGACGAAATGTCAGATTTTAAATTTGAAGCTAGCATCTTGTAGAGGAAAAAAAGTGGAGTATTCGGAATATCCTAAATATCAAAACAGCATTTTGTTGAACATCAAATTTCGCAACTTTGCCCCAATTTAACCAACCCTGAATCTCTCACCGTTCTCGAGATCCCAATTATGTGGCTCGAATGTTGAACACCCTGTACAATTTCGGATTTAATGAGAGAACCTCGATAAGCTAATATGAATTTATTTGGGGGAAAAATAACTTGAATGGTATAATTTTGTGAGCTAGAGTGCCAGAGAGAGACAAGAGATTTTGATGGGAATTCTGCAATGCTGTTGAATACCTCATTACTAATTATTAGCTAGTGTAGTTACACCATAATAGTCCAAGAGCCGGCAATATTAACGGGTATGTGATCGTTGCAACGGATAATTTTGAGGATAATTTCTACATAAAACATAGTAACCTTTGAACCAAATGGATGGGTTTCCTTGATTCTCATGGCCGTAAAGTTGTTTTATAAAAAGATGTTTTTGTCATACGCTCCCAAAAACAGCTATTTTACGGACTCATTCAAGTCTGTAAAATGCTTCTTTTTAGGATTTTTCGAGGGATTTTTTTTTCTTTCTGGATGCACCTTTATGATTTCAAAAATTAAGGAAATTTTGCAAATTTTAGCGTTCTGAAGAATTTTAAAAAGCGTATGACAAAAAATAGTGTTTGTCACACGTACCTAAAGAAGTTTTTCAGGACTCATCTGCTATTCCGGACTCGGCTGACGCCTCGTCCGGAAACAGCAATGATTCGTCCTGAAAAACTTAATTTTAGGTACTTGTGACAAAAATAACTATTTTATTAATTTTATAAATAGAACAAAAATCATAAGCGCAACAAATAAGAAGTACCTTGCGGTGTAGGGGGTTCTCATCATATGCGGCAAACACTTTATTAACACAATTTCATGTTTCTTTTTTTGTTTAAACACCTATAGCCGTATGCAAAATCCTCTTCACAGAATCTTCTTTTAACTTTAAAAGTGACTTTGAGAGCTGTCACTTTCAAAAATTTGTATTCAGCAAGCAAAATAACGCGCGCGCTCGATTTTCAATGAGGGTTGCCATCAATTCCGGCCATCAAAATCGAGGCAAACTTATATATTATTTGGGAACACATAATAAAGAATATATCTACCAATTTCCAGCTATTGCAGCGATAACATTGTTCCTTCGAAAAAAGAGGGCTGGTTTACGCCCAGCCACCAAAGGGTTGCGGCCATGAGAATCAAGGCAACCCATCTATTTAGTTTAAAGGTAACTATGAGCTATCGTTTTATGAGAAAATTATCCATTGCAACGATCACAGACCCGTTAATATTGCCGGCTCTCCTACTATAATATTCTGATTCAATATTCTGGATTATTTCCAAGATAAATGATTGGAGTATTAAAAATTATCTGGTTATAGATGTAGCTCAAAAGGGGATTGAAGCTTTACTTGAACAAAACTCGTGCATCTCTTTCTAGCCACAAATAATTAGAAATCCATACCATACCAACTGAACTAGTTTTTACTTTAATTCCAAGGCGTTTGTAATAACTGTTTTCTCGAGATTTTGGATGGGATACCACTGAGGGTTCCACCACCATCTTTTAGAAGAGACCTGATAAAGTTATCTAAAATAATCTATTGAATTAGTTTCACAATTCGTAAGGGTGACAGGTTGAATTCAGAAAAAGTAAGGTACCTATTTAAGGTATTGTATCTTTTTTCTCCTCATTTTTGATGGAGTACCACTACTATCTTCTAGTAGGGACTTTTGAAAATATCAGAAAAGTCGAGAAAAGTAAGGTACTAGGTAATCTAGAACACCCTGTGAAAAGATGGTAATGATACCCGATGCAAAATCTCTGGAGAAGTGTCTTTTAAATTTACATTAAGACATTTATTACATACTATATATCAAAATGTATACTTAATAATATTGATCTCGGCGTGATTTCCATTCCCTAATAAATTTTAAAAAGTAACAATGGCTTTGGTGCAGATGGCATGCATCTCAAATTCGTGGTTAGAAATCGAGGTTTACGGTTTACTTCGCGTTTCACGCCCCTGTTTTGTTTTAAAAGTTGTTGATAAAAGGTCTTTATTAGTTAAACACTTGCATTGGGATCCTGAATAAAATTAGTCTTCCTGATTTATAGCCTAAACATTCTAATATGCTCGTTGAATAATATACTAATAAAACAGATTTTTCTACAAACGTCACTAAAAGTGTCATTTTTAACGGATGCTGTCAGTGTCTAAAATGCCATTTTATGACACTGGTGTTAAAAGTGATAAGTTTCAGCACTAGTGCTAAAAGTAACCACTTTTAGTGCGTTTGTAGAAAAAATAGTGTATAATATTCGTGCTAAAAGTGATTTTATTTTGTTCAAAGGGATGGAACACTCCGCCTTCGGCGTCGTGTCCCAAACTTCCCTTTTCACAAAATAAAATGTCACTTTTGGCACTTATATCATAAATAACTATTTTGACATACCCAAATATGGCCATCAATAATGGTATTCTTGTGTCTTGATTTAGGATGTGGATGTTTACAAAAGCACTATTAGAGAAGACATTGAAAACTGGATTAAGGAACTAAATTCAAGAGAAACATCGGATTGGTTAATCGTCGTTGTAGAAAATTATGATGGTAAAAAAAGTAAACAATTAATTCCTAGAACTACAGTACTCGATAAAATTCGAAATGATTTTGCACTTAAACAAGGTACAAAGCACAATATTTTTTTTTTCTTGGAATAAAAAACCCTAAGATTTTGAATTATTTAGGTGATAGGTGTATTTCCGTAATAAATCCTGGAAAAGTCGAGAATAAAACTGCTGAATCTTGGCGGGGACTAGTAGGAAGGATAAGACATTTACTTTTAGTAGCTTATGCTAAGGCTGTTACACGATTAGAAGATCACGTTAGACAGCAAAGAGAAAGAAGAAACGAACCAGGATGGCACTTTATGAATTATTTTATGTTGCAAGTAAGGCATATTTTTAATGATTGAACAGAATAATTATTTTGTTACAATTTTCAAGGAAGAATTGGCTCAAGTATTAGAAATGCTAGGATTGAACGATGAAGCTTTGGTGCAGTACGACGAATTAGACGCTCTCTTTTCCCAATTTGTGGCGAATTTTACAACTTGTGATAACCTTAAGTGGCTATGTCAATTTCAAAGACCGTTAGAACGGTGGCATGGCTTAAAATTAACACCATCTCTTTTAGAGGATAATCCTTCATTACTAGAGCTCAGAGCTTATATATTTTCTAAACAAGCTCAGATGTTGTTGCTTACAAAAAAAGTCTGGGAGGTAAATTTTTCATTTTTGTTTTTAATATACATTATTTTATTTTTAATGATTATTCTTTGACTTTAGATGGCATCTAGGTGCATACCATTTCTTCATACCTGTGTACGTGAAATTAGTATTTTAGAAATAACTGCACCACCAGGTGCCATTTGGTGTTGGCTTTTCTTAGCTATCATGGAGGTACTTCAAATTTGTGATAAGTTTAACCAAGCCGATCAGGTTGAAGAATATTCGTTACATACTGCTTCTTTGTGGGAGTATGCTAGTCAAAAGGTTAGTAATTTTTAATATTGTCTATTGTTCCCTTGAATTTAAATTTTTATACAATCACTTTGTTTCGCTATAAATAGACAATGCCTTCCTACTGCCTTTTAAACTTTTATTCTTAATCTTGCTTTTTTCATTTCATTTCATTTGCCCTTAAAACACAGGACAATATTTTTCGTTTTCAAGTGAAGAAAGCACTAATTCTTCTATTTCTTCTAGTATGAGAGGAAATAATCAAAATTATCGTATTTCAGATAAGAAAATTAGGCGAATTATGTGGTTTAATGCCACAAGGTGTTCCAACTTCAGAACAATTACATATAGTAGTTAGTTTATCGGCTGGTATGGGTGACAATCCAGGGCCCATCAATCATCCTTCCCCAACTGATAGACTTAAAGAAGCACTTTGTTCTCAAGATGTTTTTATTAAAACATATTTGGTAGGTTAAGCAACAAGCTATTCGATCCTAAATAAATTCCCTGATTATTATCACAGGAGTTGGCTGAATTAGCAATGGGAACTTTTAAACATGTTGGTCGCTTACGAATGGCTCGATTAGTTGGCCAAGAAGTAGCGAGTTTCTATTTACTATTAGGAGAAACACAAAAAGCCGCAGCGTTTCTTGGAGATGCTGTACGTACTTTTGAAAATGATGGCTGGCATGAACTAGCTGGACAAACGCAATTGAGTCTAGCTGATTGTCATAAGAGAGCTAATGATACTAGAAAATATATTAAGGCTTGTGCTGCTGTTTCAGCTGCTTTAGAAATTGATACTCTAATAAGGTAGGTTTTTTTTTTTTCATATTTAAAATTTTGTCACAAATTTTAGTGCGATTTTTTTTAGGTGGACATACTTTGACGAAATGACAAAATATTTAGAAAAATTGGATAAACCGTTGGATGTGCCTTTAAATAATATTCTAAAAATAAATAGCATTCATATACTCAATGATCTTATTATGATGCAAGATTGTAACATGGAAGTTGAACTTTTGGTAGAATCAAATTTCCCTAAAGAGATTTTGTGTACTTACGTCGGCATTTCTTTAGATAAAGAAGAAAAGAAGAAACCCAACTTTCGGTATTGTTCTGGAAAATTACTAACAAAAAAGGTAAGTGCCATCAAATTATTCAAGTTAGGTATATCAAATCAAATCTAATTGATCTGATTTGATTTTTTTGTGAAAAAAATCTATATGTGATTAATTGATATAATAAAATGTGAATTAAATGTTATATTTCAGGATCTCAAATGGCAAGATCCATTCTTGCAACGTCTGAAAATTAAAAAAACTTTGGACTATAAGCAAGATAAACAACTCGCTACTTCTGGTATTGCATGTAAATTTACACAATTGCAAAGGAAAGATAGTGCGCCCGCTTATAGTAAGACTGATTTCAATACTGCTTTGGAAGTTGAAAAATTGGTAAGATCTATCTTTCATTTCTTATTCGTTATTAGATTAACAAATGTAATGTCTTTTGTGTTATGAAACATAAATTAGAAATTTTTCACATTTTAATTTTTCACTAAAACTTTTATATTTATGATACATTTAAATATTCCTCGAGAAGGATTTTTGAAACATTAAAAATTTAGATACCTTAATAATTATTATACCCTGCCTGATAACGATTTTTTCTTACAGCCGCTGTTACTAACACCAGGAATAAACGTTATAAGACTCATTAGAAAAGCAACAGATGTAGGAAAATATTGTATCGAATCAGTGGCTATTCACATAAAAAAGTTGAGATTTGTATCTCAACAGCTAAATGCACGTTTAACCATTGAAGTTAAGGAGGAAAGTCCGAGTATACGATTGTATAAACGCGCGGCACCCTTACTCTCTGGAATTGAACAAATAATGAATTTAATATTAACTATTGGAAGCTACCAGATTGAACCAGTTAGTAATTAGATATTTCATCCAATTTATATTCTTATGGGTTTTAATTTAATTTATAGAAGTCCCAAATAAAATTAACCGCTTCACCAGGATTAACATTTCAAATTGAACCTGATCAACCCATGACTAATTATTTAGAAATTGATGTTGGTGATAAAGCAACATTTTCAAGTACAAAAATGCCCCTTAGAGTTTTAGCTGATCTTTTAACCAAAGATCATCAAGGTATTGCTATTTAGAAAACGAAAAGTTCAAAATTTTATAATGCCTTTTTTTAGTTACCATTCATGTGCCATGGAACCCAAAGCCAATTGTTGTGTCGCTTAGTTTCTCATCGCCTATGTCTACTACTTGGCGATTATTTACCGTTAATAATAGGAAATTGGTACAAGTAAATGTTGTGGGACATTGTTTGGATAGTTTAATTGTGCAGGATCCGCAACTGAAAATTAAAGACATTCCTGTTTCTGCTATACATTGTGATTCTAGTCTGGTAAGATCGCCAACCCTTAATTATTTTATGTTGAAATTAATATATTGCCTTTTTAGATTATTTCTAATGGTTTAAGTTATTCTTTTTTATGGCAATTAGGACACACTAACATTTCATCAAATTCGACCAAGGCCGAGTTTAATGTACAGTACAAATTGAGTGAAGATGATATTTACAAGACTTATCAATATTATTTTGATATTACTGATTTTAAGGTAAGTTATACCAACAAACATGTGGCCACAATTGTCCCAGAAATTAAATTGTATTCTTTGTGAAAATTAAACCAATATTGCCTTCAATATTAATCAATAATTTTCTACTTGACAAACCAGATTTTGTTATTAGAAAATATTTGTTATATTTTTCTTTTATCGTATGGTATTTTGGTACCTAGATCTAGCTATACTTCTATGGTCACTCAAGTCAGGAAATTGGCTATTACACTCTTGCCAAATAATACTGCCTTGCTTTATTTTAAACAATCTTGTATTCACATTCTTGAAAGCATTTTCAATTAAAAATTCCTATTATACATCACTATTTTTTTTTTTAGACTTTGTACATAATGGATGCAGTTGTAGAGCCATCTAAAGGTAACGAATTTTGTCGAGTTGGTGTGGTTTGTCATCTACATTTGACAATGACGAATGTAATGCCCCCTGGCGGCGAGGACGATGCCAACGAAGAACTTCGCTCAGTTATGTATGAAGTATTGGCCGAGCAAAGCGTTTGGGCCGTTTGCGGTCGCACGGCGGGTGTGGTTGGTTTTGCTAGTGCTTCAGGTAAAAATTTGATTTTTTTTACCTAGTAATAATTTATCATTGGGGAACTTGTAATTTTTTTCCCTATTCATAGTCAACACAGAGACTACAGAGATACCGCTCAATCCCATCCTAATCCTAAGAAATTGTAAAAATTCTGGCCTTGACTAGGTCCATTTAAAAGCTACAGCGTTCATTTCAAAATATAGTTATTTTTGTATCTAGTGCGCGAAATGCTACTTTGGTAATCGAGATCTGATTTTTTTAACGAGGCGCAGCCGAGTTAAAAAAATAGTCGAGATCACCAAAGTATTTCGCGCCCGAGTTGCAAACAATATTTTTTCTACAACTCCATTCAAATATCGATCATTCGAAGCCAAAATTGCATTTTCAATCAAAGGTAGGTGAATTTTAATTATTTTTGGTTTCCTGACAGGTATGTGTCACCATGACACCAGTGTGCGAACTACCTATTTCGCACACTAGTGTGCGAAATAGCTAGTTGGCGCACGGCGTCATTGTAACGTTAAAAAATCAATACCTGAGAAAAAAAGTGTCACTTCGCAAACTGTCATGAGTGTGCGAACATCATCATTTTTTGACAGTTGTAGAAAAAAATATTAAGTTGCTCTTTTTTTTTTTAGATACAGAAGGATCAGTTCAACAAGTAGTTATGGACGTTATGCCTCTAACAAGCGGTTTCCTACCTTTGCCGTTAGTTCGTTTGTCTAAGTATATTCCAGCTGAAAGTATTTCAGGTAATAAGGCAGATACCCACCCTAGATTAGAACCATTCCACTCTGGACAAGTTTATAATAAAAGTAAAGGAAAACAAGTGCATGTAATTGCAGCCACGACTGATGGAATTCCAACATAATGAAAATCAGTTTGAGGAATGTTGATAAGCAATTTTAAGATATGTCATAATAATAAGGTAAAGCATTTGGATATGTAAAATATTACGTGGAGGTAAGTAAGTAGGAAAAAAATGTTTGTGTTTTAATATACTGTTTCTGCTACCAAGTAGGTTCTTAAATAATATTCTGTGCCATTTTTTTCTCGTTTAAAATTTTAGGATCAAAAATATTTTCAATTTTTATGTGTGTATTACAATAATAGTATATTACAATCCGAGACGGGAAATGCTTCATTACTGGTCGAGAGGTTTTATAGTTTATCGAGACGCGTAGCGTCGAGATAAACTGAACCTCGAGACAGCAATGAAGTTTCCCGTCGAGATTTGTATACTATTTTATTTTTAACCATAATTTCTTGAAAAAAAAAATTCGGGGCAACCAAATGAGGTCGGCAAATGAAGAGGAAAATGAGAACGGGAAATATTTCCCTGCTCCATTTTCCGTCCGTGGACAGGTAATAGGACAGTAATGACAACATTTCATATATGGTTAAAAATAAAAACTATTTTTTACATTTACAAAACATCACAAAATGCTGTGCAATATTTATTTATATTTCTCTGTAAATTCGAATCTTTGTTAGACATTTCTACATTATAATTTTTAAATTTTGATTCAATTGTGGTGAGAAATCGAAAACAAAGATTTTTTGTGGACAGAGATCTATTACCCATGGAAACTTGAATTCCCAAATTTGAAACAGCATGGGGATATTTTTTACTAGTTTTAGCTCTCTGTCTATTAATTTAACTATAATTTGTTTACTCTATCGGATGAGATTTTTTTTTTGTAAAAAATTATTTCTATTTTTAAGCTCCAATGTAGCGTATTTATTTTTTTATGTGAAATAGTGTACCTATTTCTCTGTATATTTCTGTAAATATTTTCTCAATAAATTCATCTTTATTGTTTGTTAATTATTTATGTCTTTTTTTGTAGATCAAGTCTGAAAACCCTGCGTTAGTTTTGGCCCCGGTTTTGGCTATAATTAACACATATCCAAATAAAAGAATCATTTGTCTGTGTGTAACATTTTATTTTTCATTCTGGCTCATACCAGACCCATAAACTTATAATTATGCCATCAACAGAAGACATAAAAATAATATGTATAATCATCTACTAAAATATATTTACAAAGTGTTTATTTTAGCTCTTAAAATAATTATATTTATCAACAGTTTTCCACATTATGAATATTGGCATTGAGAAAATAAAAAGTGAATGAGAAAATTATAGCTTAATTAAAAGAGCTATATAAAGGTAGTTAAAAAGTTTCTAATCTTACAACATAATTATAGCCGCGAAAGAACGGTATTGCTCTAAACCATGAATAAAATCAAATTTTAAAATTATCACTGGACAGTTAGAAGTGCTCTATCACTATAAAAATACAATACACATTTGCTATGGCAAACTTACCAATTCCCGATAGAATAATTTAACACACCAACCGCAGAGTCTGCTTTTCACTATAACATATCTGCCTTTAATTGAAAGGATTTTTTTTTTGCAAGAAATATGGCTAGATTTCTCCTTAATTAATAACATCACAATTTCCTCAAAAAGATATTGCTTTAAAACATATACACCCATTATAGCTTATATTGATAATACTTTTCCTTAGTTCACAACCACAATGACCCGTATATCTTATAATTTAATTTGTACAAGCGTGGTTTGGTATTTCTTTCATTCCCGCCAGATTTCTTGCAAACGCTTTATTGTCAATTAAAATATTAACCGAGCTACCGATTGGACGCTTCCAACATTTCCAAGAATAGCTTGTTCATTGGAACTAAATCTTGGTTGTGCACATCTGACCAGAACCTTCGGACCACGTTGTTGGCTTGTCTTAGAGCTGGTAAGCAGAGGAGTAACTGTTGAGTTTGCAGAAAGGCGGTGTTTGGTCTGCAAGATAAAAATGTTGGGTGAAGTTAACAGTGATGATATTGTCATTCTAGAGTTAATATTATGGAAATTTGCACATTTTGTTTGGATATATCAAATAAAAAGGAAATGTTGAAGTAGAAAATAAAAATAATCGTTAGGTATAATATAAAAATAAACACAAATTGACAGAAAGAGATATCAGGTCGGGTCAGTTAAGTTAGCCCCCCCCCCCCCATAGAGAATTTCTGGATGAAAATTATCCCATAATTAGGAGAGATTTTTGGGAGCTCTGTAGGTCTCCCCTGGTAATAGAGAAAAACTCGGAGAACAAAATGAGCATGATCAAATTACAGAATTTTCACTGGGGGGAGGGGGCTGGGAGAGATTCTTGGGAGCTCTGTAGGTCTCTCCTCTGGTAATGGAGCCAAACTCGCCGATAATGGAGCAAGATGGAGCAAAACTCGGAGAACAAAATGAGCATGTTCAAATTTCGAAATTTTTACCGGGGTGGGGGGGCTAGGAGAGATTTTTGGGAGCTCTGTAAGTCTCTCCTGGCAATGGAGCAAAACTCGCCGATAATGGAGCAAAATAGAGCAAAACTCGGAGAACAAAATGATCATGATCAAATTTCTGAATTTTCACTGGGGGGGGGGGGGGGGGGCGCGGGGGCGGCTAGCGTTAATTCAGCCCCCCCCCCACCTAATAGGCCATATAGTCTCTCCCTTAGATTAATACATGAAATAGATAGGTTTATTATGATTAAAATATGCCCCAAACATTGACTCCCATTCTAAGATCACTTGCGGACACTTACTGCAGATGTGCCATATTTATAAATTGTCCTAAGTTGCAGGGAAAATGGAATTGGAAATTGAAAAAAAATATCGTAAATATAAAAACCTAGATAGGTATATGTATATACAATTATAACATAAAATATCGCAGTGCTTTCCAAAATTGAATAGGAATAATTATTATATAAAGTAATAATCTATTATCACAATAAAATTATTAAAATTTGGATAGGAATTTGTGCTAGGTGAAAATGGCAACACTGCCTAAAATCTCGGAGTCTGGTTCAATTCGTCTAGAACGCCCACCTGAATCGTTTTATCTTTGTTAAGATAACCAGTTAAAAAAGGATGCAAATATTGCCAGAGCAAGCCCGACCAAAATCGCGAATGCGCCGTAGTATTTATAGTAAGAAATGTTTGTAATTGGTCCGCATTGTCCGCAATGTTATCCCCACTTCATGTAGTTCATTAATTATTCCACTATTGTCGTTTAGGATTGTTGGCCGCAGAAACCAAACGATTTTATGAATGACTTGCCCTCTCTATTTATATAGTGTTACTCTGAGGTCTCTCCACTGTAATGGAGCAAAAATCGAAATTAGTGGAGCAAAATGAGAGCAAAATTATGGGATAATTTTCATCCAGAAATTTTCAATGGGGGGGAGGGGGGGACTAACTTAACTGAGCCTATCAGGTCTTCAAAATAAAGAACCAAATCGAAGATTGCTATGGTTTTTTAAACGTATGACTATTTTTCTTCAATTTTGTCAATGAACTTCAATGTCAAAATGTCATGTCAAAAATCCTGACCAATAATAGTAGATTATACCACGAGTCAATAATGATAGCTATTATTCCCGAGGATTATTACGAACTGAGCCGCGTTAGCGGCGAGGGAGTAACATTCCGAGGGAATAATAGCCATTATTGCGAGTAGTATACTCTACTTTATTTACGACAAATTAATTTATTTGAGATTTTCAATGAACAAATTTCATCCGTCTCATAATTTTCAATACAAATCCACACGCACTACAGGTTTGACACTGACACTTTTGTGGAATAATGACCATTAATCCCGCTACTCGTCATTAATCCCTGGAGGAATAACATATGTCATTATACTGCCAAAATCACAAATATAATACGCACAATATACATTAGTCGTAAATAAAGAAACAATAATGCGACATACGTTTTCGTATTCAAAGCAATCTTTGATTGGTTTTTTTTGAAGACCCGATATAAATGAAACCCTAGGGTGTAAAGACGAAACCAACAACAAATTCTGCACCATATAGAAAAGAAGTATGAAAAACATTTGGAAAGCATTTATCGCAAAATCCAGAGTCGAAATAAAAAGTATGATCTATGAACAGACCACGTGACCTAATGGAAATATGAAACCTTTATTACAAAAAGGAAGAGTTACAAAAATCAGGAAGGAATATCGGGTTCGGTTATAGTAGTCAACTCTATACCCTATATACTATAGTGGGAGCGGCTCGTGAGAAATGCTGGTATTATTCGGCATTTCATTTTAAAATTGTGCCACTTTGTCTACATTTTTCCTAGGCCCATTTGAGTGACTTGAGTCGTAGAGCCGGAAGTTTCGTCCCTTAGGATTGAAAATTGAGGCGAATTCCAGGCAATTTTTTTTTTTTAAAGCGCGATTTTTACGTTTTGGGGTGCCGTTTTCGAGGTTTGGATCTCGCATTAAATGATGGGGTTCAATTTTTTTCAAGAATGTGTAGGGATATTCTAAACAACGTCTCATAAAGTCCCGTCGATTTCATGTGCCGCGGGGTGGAAGGGGGCGAACCAAAGGTCACAAATAGGCTAGTACAACTAGGTGGGCAACCCTAAACAAATTTGCTACAAGCTGATTTTTGCGCCATTGTGTTCCTTTTAGTGTTTTATATTATGGGTTAAAAATCCCAAAAAATCCGATAGGGGGCGCAACCCCAAAACCACCCCCAAAGGTACATTTTTTAGGTTTGTCGGAATTTTCTCAAAGACGGTAAGTTTAAACAAAAAAGTGCAAGGCGCGTTTTTTGTAAAGTACAAAATTTCGAATTCAATGATATACCCATTTGTATTATTTAAAGAAGGCTAGAAAAATAGTATATTACATACCGAGGTGGAAAGTGTTTCTGAAATCTCGAGACAGTAATGAAACTTTTCACCGAGGTATGTATACTATTTTATTTACAATCATTCGAATTTTGAAATTTTCATTTGGATTAAAACTAAAAAATACAATAATTAACAATTTCATTTACTTTCGGCCCACGGGTCGAAAGTTTACTTTCGACCCGTGGGCCGAAAGTAAAAGTCAAAAAATACAATAAATTTTAAAAATTTCATTTACTTTCGGCCCACGGGCCGAAAGTAAAAGTCAAAAAAGTGACATTTTCGAACTTTTTAAAAGTCAGTAAAGTCAACATTACATGTATGATTGTAAATAAAAATATTTTATTTTTAACCATATGTAATGTTGACATTACAGTCTTTTTAAAGATTTGGAAATGTCACTTTACTGTCTTTTCATTTCCCTGCTCCACTTCCCGTCCCCATTTCCCGTCCTCACTTCCCGTCCTCGTTTCATTATATTTATGTGGCAGGTATTGTCAAATTTTTTTCAAAATTGATGACAATGACATAAAATTCAAGCAAATAGCATGAAGCTACGTTCACATTGAATTTCATTTCTAATTTAAATTAGCAAAAATTATGGTTAAAAATAAAATAGTATACTATGCTCGACAGGAAATTTAATTACTGTCTCGAGATATAGTTTATCTCGACAGTAATAGCTAATTTCCCGTCTCGGATTGTAATATACTATTTTTCTACAGACGTCAAAAAATGATGACATTTTCACACTCATTTCCGTTCGAAAAATGTCACATTGGTTTTATTTACCTTGACGACGTGTACGAAATATTTCGCGCACTAGGGCACGAAATACTTCGTGCACGCCAACAGTGGTAATATTAAAAAAAAAAAATGGAAGAAAATTAAACAACCCAATTTATTAAAAAAATTAAAACAAATAATTGGTAAACTAATTATTGCTACTGATATTAAAATTAATGGTACAACCACTGCATGTTCCGATATTTATTCCCCGGGTAGAAATATCCAGAGTTTTGTTTAAAATTTTGTTTTCTGTTGAATCATTGATATTTTTCGTCACAGTAGATTGTGCTGTACTAGAAGAAGCAGACGTAGATGGCATTTCAGCTTCACAATAATTCGAAATTTTATTAGAAATCTTAATTTTATTCTCTAGAGAGACTTCAATATATCCTTCAGCAACACTGGAAGACTTCCATCCTCCATGGCGCTTAAGGCAAGTCATATTCGCTCCTGCATCTGCGAGGAGCGTTGCAGAAGCAATGGCCGGTATAGGACATGGCATTTGGAAGCTGAAGGTACTTTGCGATAATGGATGGATCTGACCCAATGGTGTTTATTCCAACAACTTGGTTGACACATTTGCCCTTATGGTATTTTAAAAACAGACGATTACTTGATGCATGAGTAGGGCGTAAGGCCAAATAGTTCCGATAATGCTGAATGTAATTGGAATCTGTCACTGTAAATGTTCGTGGAACATTTGTTTTGGTGTCAGGTATTTTAACTATTAATACTCTGCCGGAATCCTCTACGTCATTTATGGTCATTTTAACCAATTCGTCTCGACAAGGCCCCTGAAATGCCAATAATCAGCAAAACCTAGAAAACAAGGCTGATATAATTTCAAATAAATAATATCTAACAGATAAAATCTCCTTCATTAATAAATAAGCTTCATCGTCGGCTTCTGTGATAAATTGGTTCACATTTTCCCCTGTTAAGACTTTAGATTTGTTTGCCTGATGTCCTACATATTTTTTTTTTAAATATGGCACTAACTTCAAAAAAATTTTCAAATCAATGTTTTCTTTAATGCTTAGTGTTGATTTTAACATCGAATACAATGCACACAAGGTAGGGGACTTAACTGTTTTCGATTTTTCCTCGAAGTAGGCTAACATTACTATTTCACTCACTTGCTTTACGTTTTTGTGTGAACACCAGTCCTTGAACTGCTTATAAGCATTTTCATACTGTATTTTGGATTTTTCTGGCAAAAGGTTTGCAACTGCAGATTTGGCTGCATTTATGATATCACGAGGAACAAATTCTTCTGGAATTTCCATTCTAAAACAATATTGT